ATGCCAAGGCTTAAAGCAGCAACAACGCTACACATAGAAACTGATGATGGTGGAAAACACCGAAACGTATTTTAATTGATAAATAGACAATAAATAACTGAAGCCCAGGAATTGAAGCACAGTCAGGAAAGTATGTACAATTAAACTTTAATTAACCTCTTTCCACCCTCTATGTTTACTTTTACGGGGGACTTTAGGTTATTAAAGAGGGTACTATTTTATAGCCGCTGTCGCGTTCTGCCCAGCCTTCCCCTAATCTACGCTAATTTAGGCTCATAGAGCCAAACATCTTAAAAATAGATTGCCACTGGGTAAGCGTGTCACAAAATCGTTACTGTTACTTAACAATTTCAAATCACTTGTGTTTGAAGCTCAATTGAGAATAATAATTTTTCATATAAACTTATAAACACAACATATTAACCTCTGTCGTTGCCAGCGTAATCCAATCAAAATTCTTGTCTATATAAAAACATGGACAATTCGAAAAGTGTCGAACATTTTTTCGCTTCATTGGCCTGGCTAAAATCGGAAACTTCTAGTTTCTCATTATGGCACTCACAAGTGATCACCACATCTATTAGCAATGTTTCGGTCCAACTCGAATACATTCATCATCACTTTTCGATTTTTGGGATGCATTTCAGAGGATCGGTACCAACATGGAGTTAAGTGGAGTTTTTTTTCCTTTATACTTTACCGGATCGATACTCAATACTAATTGGCGTCAATTTCAACCAATTCTAGTGTAATTTGACACTTTTATCCAATTTTGGAAATTTTCCCTCCATAAGAGCCCGTTCAAACTTTTGCGTCTTCCTCCTATAGCTCACAGAGAAAAAAATTTCAGCCAACCAAAGTTGATTTGTCATGTAACTTTTCCATATTCTGTCAAGGAATAGTCCAAAGAAAAAAAAAAATTTCTTTAAAAATTTCGGTGGGTGGACGAAAGGATGCAACATATTATCGGTTGATTAGCATGCTGGATGCATTAGAAATGGCCTCTATGTTAAATTTTCTAAAAGTTAGTAAGTCCCTGAGGTGGCGAAATTTTAG